TACTCAAGAGAGGAGGAACAAGGAGACAGCAGTTAACAACAGTCGAAGACGAGCAGAGAAAGTTAAGGGACAAGCAGAGTACGGAGAAGCAAACAAGCAAGTAAAGAAGAGCATTGGGAGGTTACAAGAAAAAATACATGGAAGACCTGGCAGCAACAGCGGAAAAGCTGCAAGAGAAGGAAACAACTATACCACACAAACCAGCTGAAGAGGAAATTAGGAAAAGACGCTGGAAGTGGATAGGACATACATTGTGGAAATCACCGAACTGCATCACGAGATAATCCCTAACTTGGAATCTTGAAGGGATGTGGAAAAGAGGAAGGTTAAAGAACATATTGCATCTGGAATTGGAAGCAGACATCAAAAAGATGAACACCATCTAGAATCAACTGGAAAGAAATGCCAAGGGTAGATTTGGGTGGAGAATGCTAGTGGGTGGCTTGTGCTTCTACACCAGGGGTTAACAGGAGTAAATAAGCGACCATTTTAATTTTTTTTGTTTTTTAGCTCATCACGTAGATTTTGATTCCTATACTCAGTTCTGAGCCATACCCTAAGTTTGATGTATAATTATAGTACTCAGTTACCCAAACCGAACTAGAGAAGTGGTTTCGAACCTGCAACTTAATAGCTAAAAGTCGAATGCTTAACCACTGACCTACAGATTTCATTAACAATTATAAATATACCCAACAAGGCAATACGGTATTAGTTTTCAGAACTGGAAATCAACCAGGTTCTTTAAAACGTGATCAGCACTAATTAACCCTGAGGCGCAACCAAAACAGTCAGAAAAATGGCATTCAGTTATCTCAAGTCACTTTATCTCAAAGTAATAAACTCTCAACCAGTTCATCATTGAACTACAGGATATGACTGACGATATGAATTTCGTCAGTACAAACGGATACCGTGTATCTATTTCTTAGCCTAACCAGATTGTACGGAAGAAATGTTGGGAATTTGTTATTCATTTAATGACTTAGAGAATGGGACGTAACTTACATACAGAACAATAGTTAACAAAATACCTTAATTTAACGTGATTACTGATTACAGGGTATTTTATAGAATTATTTCCTTTCCTTAAAATCCGGGGAGAAATACTTCTGAATATATAGGTAAAGACATTAGTTCCGATCCATACATAACTAAATAGGGAGTTATTCTGGTCGAAATATCTGAATAAAACCATCACAACAGTATTAATAATATTAATTCAAGCTGATGTGAACAGATTTAGAAGAGTAATAGACGTAAATCCAAAAATATGGAAGGTGTTAAAACTTCCCGAAGGCAGAAAGTATGACCAACTTATGGACATAACAGAAGATTGATAAGTACCTTTTGGTTGAAATAATTATATTAATGTTATTCCGGCTACAAAAATCAAATTAGAATTAATGTCCTCTATTTACGAATGTAAAATCGACCAGCATATTGATTTAACATACTTCGTCCAATATATATAACAGACCATTCTGTTCCAGCCATTTTTGTTTAACTTCATCATAGACCTATTGCTGGAAATAACACCCATCGACTGAATCTACAGGAATTAATCTCCTACCAGGAGGTTCACTTATCGACTTAGAATAAGCAGATGACATAGTACTGTTTGGTGAAGACGTTGATAAAATGAAGTCTTTTGGCAGCACTGAGCAACAATGCCAGAATGTTTAGGATGTTTCTTCCCCCTCTAAATGTAATTTGTTACTCCAGGACTGGCCTGCGTCAACACCTGAACTAAGGATAGGGAGTGAAGTAGTCGGACACGTCGACAACTTTATTTATCTTGGAAGTCTGATCAGCCCTAATGGGTTGGTCTGACGAAATTTCAGCACAGGTCCAAAAACCTCGTTTGGCCTTTGCCATGAGGTAGGGCAACTTGGATCGATGCATGTTTGTGCTTGGTCCAACGTTGTAGCTGACTGACTCCAGTCACGTGTATTTTCTGTGTCAGGAGGATCATGGAAAATGAGAACGGAAATTACAGGATAGATTTAATAATTAAAGACAGATGAGGATGAGCAAATTTAAACCTCTGCAACTGATCTCTAGCCAAATAATCTAGTTCCTTATGATAAAAGTATGATTATCCGATGGATCTCAATCACCGAATTTGTGCCTTTTCAGATTACTTAAGTAAATGATTAATGACTTTTCAGACTATCACAGTCTAGTAGCTTCGAGTATACTTTCCAATTTACTTCCATCTTAGTCAACATATCGACTGGTCCGGATTAATTATGAGTAACGCGATTTACAGACATCTCAGTAAATGAAGGTTCGTAATCTCAATCAACACATCTTTGAACTGGTTTAAAAAAAAACAAGTGTGATACCTGATGTGCTCCAGCCGGAGCCACTAGTTTAAATAGTAAATGGTTGGAAACAGGGATAGAGGAAAATCCTACGTGAATTAGGTTAACGATGTACTTGCTGAGCTCGAGTGATACTGGAACTGTGTGGGAGACTAACACTTCTCAGCTGTATATGCTGTGAATATTTTTTTCTTGAGAAACCTGAAGATTCATATAGATTAGTGTTGATAGTCTCATCAATATGTGTCATCTGGAAATCTAAGTAAATGTGAACAGGGATTATTACAGTGCATATCCCTTATTATTTATTCATTTGAATACAGACATTGGTAAAAAAGGACACCGAACACATATGCGCCACACAAGTCACTTGACTTGTGTGTGGGCTGTGATACTACCTGGGTGCCCAAACAGAGGCAGATGGTTTTCTTAGGGGACCACACCCTGGACGGAAATAAATTCAGTAACCTTCTATGACAACTCTACATACATCCATAAATGACCAAAGGCACATTCTCTGGTCGACAGAATGAGATTACTTCCTGTTTAGATTATAAGGATATAGTTGGTTCTAGGACCAAGCTGAAAACTTATGAAAATATTCCTGAAGCACTGTTCCCAATCTAGTCAAATGTTGAGTGATTGCATTGCTAAAACTTTGCAATCTGCAACCAAATTTGTGCTCCACTTCACAGACCTAAATAAACACTATTGAAGACTAGTTCAACATCTGATACCCCAGTTAGTCCAGAGTCCTTTTTGATTACTGAAGTTGTTGACTTTTGGAAACAAATAGTCAGTCCCTATTTATTCACCCTTTACTAAGTGTTCACAATACTCGTAACTATGACAAGGGCCACTGTGCTGATATCAGACATATATTGTGACTGGTCCAGTTAACATATACATCAGTTTCCTTCTTAATGTTCTAATTGATTCTATAGTCTATAATCAGCCCCCAAATGCCCTGGTATGGCCGAGAGTGAGGAGAGTCCACTCTCCCACTCGAAATACTCTCACATGGCCATGCGTTATATAGCCTATGCCAGGGAAGTCCTACTCACTGCCTTCTCGTGGCATTACTGTTGTTTACGAATTTGAGAGGACGAAAAGAGAATATCCGGCGCTTTAACAGGGTTGGTGGACACGGAAGTCCACCTAAGGGAGTTGGCAAACCCTGATTCCAAACCAATGGTGCACATGGGCTTCAGTATCCTGAAGGAACGAATGGCGTATGAACCAATCGTTGGTCACCGGCTACCATGGGATTGCATCTCCTCACGATGCTCCACTGCCTTGTGGATCAGACCTTTAGGTCGAAGGCTCCGGGTGTGGCCCCCTAAGAAAACCACCTGCTTCAGTTTGGGCACCTGGGCAGTATCACAGCCCTCACACAAATCAAATGCGATTTGTGCGGCGCATATGTATCTGGTGTTTCCTTATACCAATATTTATGTGTATAAATAAATAAATAAGTCCTATAGTCTATCGTTCATGATGTAGGCAATCAAAAATCATTTAATAGACTGCTTACTTTTATCAAATGAAAATTAACCAGTGTTCTTTCGTTCTACAATTTAGCAAAATATTTATTAGCAGCTGATCATCTTGCATCAGTCTAAACCGATAAGGATTTTCAACAGCTCACTATTTCAACAAATTTACAAGTTTAATAAAGTAGTAAATACAACATAAACTAGTATAATAATGGAGTACAAACTGGATGCGAAACTACAGCAACCATACGAACGTGATTGTACGTAGATTAAGTGAGAGACATCCAGATTATTCATAATACAATCACTAATATTTGTATCCACCAGTATTAATTACAGGCAACAAAGCAATCATAACATGTATTTATTTTTTTATCAAATGAAAATTATAAGACTAAATGGAAAATATAATTGACATTACATATCAAGAGGTCTGTATAAACGGAACAAAAGATGAAACAAATCTCCAAGGTAAGTTAGTCGCTTGAATACAAATTTTACAACTATCCAATCAAGCACTTCTATATGATACATGGAAACTGTGCTTGAAATATTTCAATCGTTTCATTTGTATTTTTTCAAAAAAAATAGGTGCAGCATATAGAAATGTATATAGCATGCACAAACACGCACATACACAACACTACTATTTGTATGTATAAACAAATTTGTTATTCGACAGATTAGGATGTAGCACATATAGGCAGTCAGTTTTTGATGTTCAGTTCACATGGTTGTAAATTACTTTTTTCATCGTTCAACGAATACTTTTACTCAAAGTGGAGATTGTAATTCAACGCAGTTAAATTGTAATGAAACACAGGACGACATATTATTGAGAAGGTTAAAAGTGGCAAATAGCTGTTTTATATGTATATCCACAACTATATATAACACTGAAGATGGGTGTAGAGAGAGAAAAAAAACAATAAGATTTAAAAGTATAGACACAGAAGGGAAATAATAAGTCATTATCGGGGACGATTATATATATATATATATATATATATATATATATATATATAAATGTTGTTTGAAAAATTCATTTAAACAAGGTAGTTGAATAATGGAACAATTTTTCTGAAGAAAAAAAATTCAAGATCCTTCTTGTCCAAATTCATCTGTAAATTTACGATGTTTGGCTAAGTCTTCAGCATTTACAGTTGGCTTATTTCGTTCTAATGAACTCAACATATCATGCTGTAAAACAAAAGAAAATAAACAAAGAATTAAGAAAAATGTTTTTTGGATCAAAACTGTACCAGTATCGATATAAGTGATGATTAACTTACTAGTGTGATGAATGCATTGCAAATAAATACACAATTTATTAATAAAATATGCAATAAGATTTAGTGGCCCTATATCTGACTCCTGATCAGAAGGCTGCGTATACGGATCACGTCGGCCTCACCACCACTTTAATAGCCTTGAAATATCTGACTCTAGTTTGATCTTCCGATTATCGATATCGACCCATACATATCGTCAATCCTCGTATATAATCATTGACTTAAATCACGTTAGTGAATAACGAAATTAAATAACTTAAATATGAGAATGAAGTTTTGAATACGTGTATTTTGCACAATCGTTGATCAGAACAGACAATCACAGAGACGGGGAGAAACGATGCGGAGTTGGTTCACATGCCTTCTCCAATCCATTTCGCTTCCTTCACTCCGTCTCTCTGATTGTCTGTTCTAATCAACGATTGTACAAAATATACGTATTCAAAACTTCATTCTCATATTTAACTTATTTAATTTCGTTATTCACTAATGTCATTTAAGTCAATGATTATATACGAGGATTGACGATATGTATGGGTCGATATCGATAATCGAAAGATCAAACTAGAGTCAGATATTACAGGACCACTAAAAAGTGATAATTAATTAGTCTGAAATCATAAATAAACTTAACAATCTTAGAAATCCCAGATGATTCCACATGTTTTAGATATGAGAACAAGTTTTTATTTTTAATTAATAACTTAATTATGCCCATTAGCTTGTTCTTAAGCTTAAATTTTCCAACAGTTTTTTAGGTTTGATCTGGTTAACAATATTCCTAGTACTTCTGGAAAGTCAGCTACTGAAATCCAGTTACACACTTTAGTAAATACAAATATAAATGCGGAAATTTACCACTGTTCGATATCTGCGCACTTGAAAAAAAGGTTCTCTCTACGGCAACTGTCAACTTAGTTTTGTGTATTCGGTTTAACACTGTTATGAATAATCCATATAATAGTTTAATTACGTGTATAATAGTTTTGTAAAAGTTCATATGGTATAAACAATAATGATTGCTTTAAAACAACATTAGTAAGACAAATTACTTAAAATAGAATAACATAAAATAACGAAATACATATTTGATGATAGTGATTTTTATTTCCACAAAATTATATAGAATCAGTATCCAGATTTAGTGATAAGGAGAAAGCTTTATACACTTCACTGACATATCAACACAACTTATGCTGGTTCATGTGAGTAGTTTATCTCTCATTGTTATATTAACAACACTTTTTTTATTTCTATTAGACAACCGTAATTGATATTCACTAATTTCTACGCCAAATAGTGAATTGTCATAAAATTCTACATACACGGATAATAGACAGAAAAATATAGGGTTATACTCCTGAAGAAATTCACAATCAAAATGATGACGGGAAAAATAGAGAATAAACAAACCATAGCAACTGGGGGTTCTCTAAGTTTATCACTTGGGACTTTTTTCCAATCCATTTCCATCGCACCATGATCTCCTGGGGAGCATGGCATTAAAAGATCATTGACAATCTTTGATGGATCAGTAGGAGAAGGACCAGTAACCTGTCGAACAAAACAATTTAAACGATCAGAAATACAAAAATGAACTGCAAATCAATAAAACGACTGCAGATAAATATCGAATAATTTAGCTGATTTAAGATAACTTAGCAGACAGGTTTATGTATGTTTATTCTAATGCGAGTCATACTTTGGTGTGACCAAGAATGATGTTATCTGATTGCCAGAACTAAAATAGACTATATGGGACCAACTGTGCAACTTAGCGATTAAAAGCCTAGTGACCTAACCACTGATTCATAGCTCTATTGATACCAAATAATCCTCAAGTACAAACAGATTAAAATAAACCTTCACATATGCCATTTCATAATTTGTCTAAACTCAATACTTATTGAGGACAATATCTTAATGTTACTGCATATTAAAAAAGTGATAAGAAAAGATATTTCCTTAGGGTTTCAGAGGCTTCGGCTAGTCAGCCAGTCCTTCTTAACGTAGGATCTAGTATTAGTATGCAACGGTTGCTACACCTGACATTAATACGAAAAGAAAAAATCACTAAGATGGGAAGGATACTATAAGAAATGACATTGAAGGTAATAAAAATTTAAACGTTCCCAGGACAGGCCTTAGACCCGGAGTGCGCGGATGACAGTCAAACAATGATCATAGACAAGCTATTCTAACCGTATTTAATAAGTTGTTAATTAGTGTTATTTAGTACCGCAAGTACTTTGTACCTTAGAAGTCCAAAGAGTTCCCGTAGAACTCACAGGATTGAATGAAGGTATATACTCTTTGTGGTGAACCGGTGGATGTAGTTTAAAACCTCGTGCACCACTTTTGCATTAATTGATATATAGAAGCTTAGGTTGTATGGGTATTGATATGATAAAGACTAATACAATTAAAAGGACTTACATATTTAAAGTGTGTTGACGTTTGAACCTTCCGAACAGGCATCATTAAAGCTTCCCGAACAACAACTGATATGTCCGCACCTGAATAACCCGTGCTTCTTGCCCCCAGTTCAATAAAGTCTTTCTCTACCAGACTATGGAATATGTTTCCCAGATTCATCTTGAACATACTAACACGTTCACCTGTTTCAGGAAGGGGAATATATATACGCTTTTCAAAACGACGACGTATAGCGGAATCTAAAGTCCAAGGAGTATTTGTAGCTGCCAATACTAGGACGTTTTCATTATTCGAAGAGACACCCTGAAACGATAGTAAGAATAATGTATGTCAAAAACACATCAACTTCTTCATCAGAGATATCGAAAATACCAAAAGAGTAGACACAATCTTCCAAGTTAGCTTACACAGCCCCTTAGTGAAAATACCACCCTTAGATCATTTTTGATAGAGAAACCTAGAGGATTATTGGTTGACATTGACAGCAATCACATACAGATACTCTAAGCTTAGCTGATATTCTGAAACCTAGTTGCTGGGATATTTCAAACCATACTTTAAATGGTGTAGACTGAAAGTATAATAATCCTAAACCAAATAATTGTTCTTTTCGCTGGTAAGATGAATATGTGGGTACTTGAGTGATACAAATGAAGTCAAAAGCACCTCTACTACATTATATAGCCGCTCGTTTGAAAATATTATTACACTGACTATCTCTCAAGTAATGTTTCGCACATTTAGTTTTTGACTTAAAAGTTCGTCTCAAATAAACGACGATGAAGTCATTGAAAGGAATTCCGAAAGATTTTATACAGACAAAACTTCTGAGTCATTCAGTGTATTTACATAAAGATTATTGCGGATTACTTACAGAAAATAAACCACTATAATTCAACTATTTTTAAAATCTTTCATGAAACAATAACAGCTTAAATGTTGTAAAAGTCACCAACTAGCTTTAATTTAATGGCAATTTTTCTAGACTCCTATTACATTACTGTTGGTAACATAGAATATGGAACTCATAAGTCATGAATACGTACTTGCATTTGAACTAGAAATTCAGTTTTTATCCGTCTTGTAGACTCTGACTCATTATCATTACGTGACCCGCATAACGAATCAACTTCATCGATGAAAATTATACTTGGTTTCTGTTCTCTAGCCATTGCAAATAGTGATCTCACCAATTTTTCAGATTCACCAAGCCATTTACTAACCAAATCCGAGCTTGAAACAGACAAAAATGTTGAATTGTTTGCTTCCGTTGCAACAGCTTTGGCCAAATATGATTTACCAGTTCCGGGTGGCTAAATTTCAAAATGAGAAACTTCGTTAATTAGAGACCATGAAGTTGCGACTCAAACAGACTAATTACAGTATGTTGGATAAATATTATAAAACAACAAAGCATTAACGGCGAAAGGCCCCTGAACCATGAAGCAAAACAAATTCACGCATTATTTATTTAATTAAGATAATAAACACGAGAATGTTATAAACTAACATTTCATAAACTCAATGATCCAATCTTTATCTTCCCTTAGGTTCTGAGTCTTAAAGTGTCTTTTACATAATTTATTCCAGGTTTCTTTTCGACTTCGATCATATTCTTTACTTACATTCTTTATTAATACGCTACTACTATTACTACTACTACTACTACTACCAGTCCTACTACTCTGACTTTAAATTGATAATTACATCTCGCTGTCCTGGTATGCTGAGGTAATTTAGACAACGTGGATGTGTCAGGCTCTACGTTGCCTATAACTAAACAAAAGGATGAAAATTAAAAAGACTTAGAAGTTAATTCGTGCATCTGAAAGTAGTGATGGAAAGAGCCAATCAGAAGTAACCTAGTGAGGAAGTCGATCGATGGCAATCAGAAGTCACCTAAAAGTCAAGTGCATTTCAATGGTTAAGAAATAGGTCAATTTCCTAAGAATTAAAGTTGTATATATATATATATATATATATATATATATATATATATTATTCGGTGACCCAATACACATTCTCCCCCAAGTAGTCAGTTGGGGGGTTAGCGCGTAGCACACCGTGTACCAGTATCAGATTTTGGATACCATCCGTCACAACAAGTAGAGTTAAGGTAAGGTGAAAAAACTGAAATCAAGTGTTTTTGATCACATGAAAATAACCCGATATATGAAAACCAGTTGAATCCCTTAAAGCTTAATTAAAGTAACCTTTTTACATTATGTGTATGCAATAATATTGTATGAGTAACAGCAGTGTTACTGGCTGTACATTACAACAAAAACGGACAGTTACTTTAGACTTTCCGTTCAAAAGTCTACTAAAAAGAATAACAAAGATACAACAGTTGCTCCTTCACAATAATTTGTTTACCTCAGTTTATAGTTGTTAGCGAGATACGGATTAGATCAAAACATGTTCTGAGCAGGATTGTGTTGAAGCTTGCTGATTGGCTATTTCTTAACTAATCAGCGCTGGCGGAGAATCGGGAAAGACTCTAGAAATTCCTTATATAAAAATTATAAATATACTAACGATTTTCTTATTGAGATTCCCACTTCCACCCACCATTGTTATTTGGAATATAATTACATTACTGTTCAACCGTGTGTCTGCTTTGGGGACTTGTCAAGTGAAGCAGTATCCAAGAAATACTAAGCAATAAAAGTAGCTGGATCGTAATGAGAGGAATCACAACAGTGGCGACAAGGAAAAAGAAAAACACATTCAAGATGTCCATATCAGATAACAAACTCAACTGAATACTACAAGAACAGCAAGCACAACTTGATGCAGGAATGCGGATGTTGAAGACTGACGCGACAGCTTAAAATCCACTGCTCGAGTTCACACGCTATTTCAAATACTTCTTACGATGCATTTGCTAGCAGCGTCCCAGTATACATCTATGACCCCGAAAATGGAAATACCGTTCTCATGTGGTTCAAGCGTTGGAAAGATACATTTAGAATAGAGTTCTGTAAACAAGATGATGCGTGGAAGACTCAATTATTGATGCGTGAGTTGGGAAGCAATGAACATGCACGTTATGCTGACCATATATTGCCAAAGTTACCTCGAGAGCTCAGTTCCGAGACGGCAACTCGATTGTCAGAGATATTCGGTGAATCATCTTCATAGTTTAGTATTCGATATCAGTGTCTAAATTTGGTGAAGCGCGAAGCCGATGAATATGGTGCTTTAGCAGATGTCGTCAACAGTGTATGGACGATTTAATTTACGCTCATTGACGGAAGACCAATTTAAATGCCTAATATTCATCAAAGCTATTCAGTAACCACAAGATGCTTAGATTAGGATCAGACTGTTAACTCGATTGCATCAAGAGCCAAACGTCACACTCAAGACGCTGACAGATGAGTGTAAACGACTGCAAAATATCAGACACGACAATCAGTTAATTGGACAGGTAGATCCGAACTTGACCTGAAGTAACGCCAATGATATTACTAGGTAAAAAGCTCAGAAATTGAGAACAACTCGTAAAAAACCAACGACTGCCTGTCAGTCATGTGGTGATTGGCATTATGTACGATTCTGTCTATTTAGAAAGCATAAATGTCAGGTGTGCAACAGACACAGATATGAAAGTCATTGTCCACCAAATTGTACGTTCCAGTCCAAGAAAAAACGTCCTCGAAACGTGGTGAAATCAGCCGAATCAAAATCACTTACTCCAGTAGCAGTTTTCCAAACAGACTATGACATTCGGAGGAAGTATGTTAATATCCTAATTAACGGCATCTCAATGTCTTCATGTTGACATGACATCCGGTGTCATCCTAGTGTCTAGAGAAAGGTATAACCTGGTTGGGAAACCGCCAATAACTATTAACACTCATCGAGTTGTTTCAATAAACCCTCCTACCATTTGACATCAAGACTGCACCTGTCATCTTTCAGAAAATAATGCATACGATGCTAACAGGTATGCCTGGTACAACAGCTCATCTAGGTGATATCATAGTTATGGGTTCAACTGATAGTGAACTTTCTGATCGACTACATCAAGCTTTTAATCGAGTGATGGAGTATGGTTCTCAACGACATGAAGAAAAGTGTGTCTTCTTCATACATTCAATCAATTACCTTGGATTTATCTTGGATAACAATGGTCGCCAACCAGACCCTGTCAACATAGAAACTATTCAGATGTCTGAATCAACCGATGCTCCTTTATTAAGATCCTTCTTGGGATTAATTGGTCATTACAGCACAATTCTGCCTTTAATGAATCGACTGAGACGTCCCCTGAATGAATTACTATAAGATACAAACCTCCGCAATGGTCAGTAGAATGTCAAACATTTTTCGACAAAACCAAATCAATACTTAGCTGAAAGCTTATTTTAACACACTTCGATCCCAGCTTGAGAAGTGTTGTTGCATCTGATGCCTTCAGTTTTGTAAGAAAATGAAGACTTCTCAGTTGCAGTCCATAAGATACACGTAATATCACAAAATACTTATACCCACTGATTGTATCCATTTCACCAACTTTAAATTTATTTCTTATGTTAGTTTTCCACTAGCATTGATATCATTCATTGTTATTCTTTTGATTTTCATTTTGTTGATTTCAATTGGTTCTGGTAACCTGAAGCAATAAGCTTTTGAATCAGACTATCATTTTTTGCTTCGTTTCATAATGAATGTAATTGATAAACATAGTATTTAGACTTCATAACGGGAAATTCGTAAGAAAAACACTTATTTCGGACTAATGAAATATGATTCAACATTTGTAAGTAATCTGAATATTATAAGTGAGGTGAAAGCACTTTCTCTACACTTATCTGGCTTAGATTTCTTTCGAGTTGCTCTGACGAAATGTTGATATAGATAGCCTACCCACAATAAACTGATTTCAGCAGGATTATTCACATTAATAATCAAATTTTGAAGAGACTCAACTGAGCAGCACTTTTCGCTGGTTAATCAGTGACCCACTGTATGAGTACAATTTACAACAAAACACAAGATCGAAATTAAGCAAGACAGTGGAGCATCGTGAGGAGATGCAATCCCATGGTAGCCGGTGACCAACGATTGATTTATACGCCATTTGTTCCCTCAGGATACTGGAGCCCATGTGCACCATTAGTTTGGAATCAGGGTTTTCCAACTCCACTAGGTGGACTCGCTGGGTTCACTGACCCGGTTAAAGCGCCGGATATTATCTTTTCGTACTCTCAATTTCGTAAAGACCACCGCCACGAGAAGGCAGTGAGTAGGACTTCCCCGGCGGAGGCCATATACGCGCAGTCATAGGAGAGCATTTCGAGATGGCGGGCCCTCCCACCTCTCGGCCGTACCAGGGCATTTGAAGAGCTGTAAAATGCCTTTCATCTTAACATATGCGGTGTAAAGTCGAAGACAAGTACGTGTACATTGTTAGTTACATTAATTTTGCACTTGGAAGTAATCTTTAGATGAGGCGTTACCGTCAAAAACTGTTTTAATTGATGTTTGGATAAATGGTACGACTTACCCCGTAAAGAAGAATCCCTCTCCAAGGAGTACGCTTTCCAGTGAACAGGTGTGGAAACTTTATAGGTAGAACCACTGCTTCCTTCAAAGCTTCCTTTGCTGACTGTAAGCCAATGACATCATCCCAACTGATATTAGGTTTTTCAGTCACAATCGCTCCTTGCAGCTGAATTTGAAAACGTGAGTTTTCGCCGTCTTCTTTATCAGAATCATCTCTTTTCTTTTCCCTTGTACCACCAGAGTTTGCTTCCTACAAAAATATGAGTCTTAAACATGGCACACAGACTAGTTAACAAATCAAGATACAAGTACTAAACAATATTTCTGATTATGGTCGCTAGCACTTAGAAATAAATGTATATGCGCATGTAATTTTATTATAAAACTGATACAAAAGATCAATCATAACGAATCAACAAAATTTTATTTGAACCACGTCGGTAGGTATGAACTTAAGTTAGTAAGCTTGAGTTATTTGGCGAGATTTATACACGGATCGCTGCAAAATTGTAGGGATACCTTACGACGTTCCGAAAACTTTAAATTCATCGATTCAAAGAGACGATTGTCGATAATGCCCAAGGATTCTCAAAACCCTAAAATATTTTGGCATCCAACGTGTAAATGATTTATTGAATTTTGTGACGTGAAATTACTACTAGCCAATATCTTTAGCACTTAAACGATCAGCAAATATTAAAATTTTACATGAAAGAAAAGTGACTGGTATCACGACAGGAAAAAGTAATACTGACATTACGTCCAAACACGCCACTGAATAATTTATTGAGATCTTACTTACAGACTAGGTGTTATTCTGGAATGTTGGTAGACTTGTCTACAAAGCAATAGGTCTGGTAAGGCAGGTGAAGCGAGTCTAATAATGCTACTATTTTGGCGCCTGTCTTGACAATCTCATCTCACTGTGATGATATGGTGTGGTAACTTGAACCGATGAACATATGTACCAGGTTCTACAATGCGTACGACTGACGAAAAAATTGACAGTTAAAACGCAGATAGTGAGAAATATGAACCGCACCCCAAACATATGCCCATATAAATTATTGAAAGAATAGTAATCTTACTATAAATTTATTATAAACCAGCTTTAAGTCTCAGCTACGTTTGATTTCCATGCAGTTTACACTGTCTACTCAAGTACAGCCTTCTAATCGCTCAGCAGCTTATCTGACCAGATTTTCGCCGTCTGAGTGGTTATGGCATCTTCTAAGAAAGCTGTCGTCAAGCGTGGTCTGATATAGCTGCTTAGAAACTACTTCTAAACGATTCCACCTAAATATAGATTGAACAGGCAGGTCAGACAGTGCTATACTAGGACCAGAATGAAAATGTATTTTAGCTCGCACAGTCCGTATGAGTCATCACACAGTCAGCAAACTAAGTTGTTGGCAAAGTTGAATGTTCTACAACAAACCCACCAGCAAAATAAAACCACATAAAACCTAGTAACGGAAAACATGTAGGTTTTATCTTTACTTCTAACGAGGTGTTAGGAGTAGCTTCTCATCGAGAGTTGTTTGTAAGGCTAAAAAATCTTCGGACTGCATTTGTATTTAGGCAGACAAATGACTTCCCGAATAGAGTGTGACAGAAAATATGGATCAACTAGACTTTCGGAAATCTGTAAATAAGTTGTACGTAAGCGACATGTCAATTACGATCAAGTTTGTTTTCTATGCCAATAATGCGAAAGTAAAAGGAGGAAAACTTGTGTACTTTCCCTCGAAATAACGTTGTCGTCTACTGAGTTTACAGGAATTAATCTCCTACCAGGAGGTTCACTTATCGACTTAGAATAAGCAGATGACATAGTACTGTTTGGTGAAGACGTTGATAAAATGAAGTCTTTTGGCAGCACTGAGCAACAATGCCAGAATGTTTAGGATGTTTCTTCCCCCTCTAAATGTAATTTGTTACTCCAGGACTGGCCTGCGTCAACACCTGAACTAAGGATAGGGAGTGAAGTAGTCGGACACGTCGACAATTTCATTTATCTTGGAGGTCTGATCGGCCCTAATGGGTTGGTCTGACGAAATTTCAACACAGGTTCAAAAAGCTTGTTTGGCCTTTGCTAATTTGCGTCACCTATGGCGAAGGCGAGACAAGTCAGCTACAGCGTAGGACCAGGAACATATATGTGTCGATCCAAGTTGCCATACCTCATCAGCAAAACAAGATGAACACCGAATTCATAGAAGAAGTTAATTTAGTGGTGGTAATATATGAAAGGAAGGTTGTATATAAGCATATAGTACAGGAAGAAAGACAGATATGAAGCAATTTTAATCCCACGGTTTAAAGGAAGATAAAGAGTGTATACACCTGCACCATTGTGGTCGACTTTTAGCCATGTCATATAGGGTCTCCAACCATTGGTTACGATAGCCACATGGACCCCAACCAAGTAGTCTGCATTTACCAACATGGCTCAGACTAGAAGTTAGTGACTTCAAGCACTGATGTCACATTTTGGTTTGGCCTCCCCTAACTTTCTTCCAACCATCCCCTATACTAGTAAGCATAGCGCGTCGGGGTAGTCGATGTTCAGGCATGCGTAACACGTGGCCCAACCATCTCAGTCGATGAAGATTCATGACCTCATCAACTGATTTACCATCATTCCCTGATATCGTGCGTCTAACTTTACAATTACTTACCCGGTGATCCCAGCAATATTTCTAAGGCATGTGTTCAAATACTAGTAACTTATGAATATCTACTCTTAATGACCATGTTTCACAGCCGTAAGGTAGAACAGAGCGAACTGCTGTGCAGTACACTCGTTCCTTAATTGGTAGACGGATATCTCGTCTTTGCTATGGGTGACGCAAATTAGCAAAGGCCAAACAAGCTTTTTGGACCTGTGTTGAAATTTCGTCAGACCAACCCATTAGGGCCGATCAAACCTCCAAGATAAATGAAATTGTCGACGTGTCCGACTACTTCACTCCCTATCCTTAGTTCAGGTGTTGACGCAGGCCAGTCCTGGAGTAACAAATTACATTTAGAGGGGGAAGAAGCGTCCTAAACATTCTGGCATTGTTGCTCAGTGCTGCCAAAAGACTTCATTTTATCAACGTCTTCACCAAACAGTACTATGTCATCTGCTTATTCTAAGTCTATAAGTGAACCTCCTGGTAGGAGATTAATTCCTGTAGATTCAGTCGACGGGTGTTAATTCCAGCAATAGGTCTATGAGAAGGTTGAACAGAAATGGAGATGGTGGACAGCCTTACCAGACACCACTTGCGGTTGTAAATCATAATGCAGTTCCTGTGCAATCTTTCTTTTACATATTACTATCGTTGAAGTGATTACTTCTATGAATTTTACGCTTACCTTGTTGTGCTAATGTAGTGTGGCAACTTGGACCGATGTATATATGTGCCTTGTCCTACGTTGTAGCTGAGTGACTACGTACCTTTCCTGTTGACCAGAGATTTTTTAACTGATCGACCCTTCTTAAAACAAGTGTTTACATTTATGATATGGGTTCATGAACTTAGTTACAACACAAATCATTCATGATAAGCCAGTCTTGATTAAGAGCTGTCCCGTTGTAGCTAGTAGCTTTAGGACAGAGTATCACAAGACTCCCAGATGGACAAACGAAAGTATGTCTATCAATCTTAAAGACAATATCGGTAAGGTTTAAAGAGCTCGAGTGTCTACCTATAACGGTATTAAGACGCGCTAGAAAGTTTAACGAACTACTACATGTACTATCCTAAAGTAAATATCAGATTACAAAACAAATCGGAAAACTAATTATATATGATGTGAAAGACTAACAGCGGCAATAATCAGTACATTTCTCGTACTACTCAATCGATAAACAAACACAAAGTGGCGAATTAACTTATATTGTATCAAAATAAGCTCTGTGCTTCATACTTAATACCAGGCAACGAACCCAAGGAAATCAACAGGTCTATGCCAGCGAGTCAAAGCTATTGGGTGCCCAAGGCCACTAAGTTAGAAGACTTTAAGGGTTTGTTGGCGCACTTAAGTATAGAACATTTTCTGGTTAGAATGAGGAAAATAACACAACTGTAGGGACTTCAGAAATGTCCACGATATAGTAACTCGGTCTTATAAATTTGTCTCTTTAGCTCTACGTTTGTCGTACTATCCAACAACAGATTCACTAATCTGATGGTTGACCAATGACTACAAGCAGTTTTTAATTATATGAAGTTGATAAATATTTTGTGAGTGAAATTTCCAAATCTATACAGGAATTAAACGTACGCTTTTTTCACGTGACTTTGAGGCCATGTACTTCTTTATTTGCTCAGCTCTGTCAAGGTACCGAGCACAACTGAGCTGAATAGATTCTTTAGCTCGATCACTTGGAGCCTCATCTGAAAAATAAACTCAACAATAACGAACAACTTACACTTGATGGCATGAATGAAATATTCAATTGCATGTTCGTAATATCTGAGCGCCTGCTCATAATTCTTTGCTTTGTCTTCATTCGTTGCGAGAGTGACTAACTGTATGCCTTTCTAGAATTCATAATGCTGCAACAAGTCCAAACAACCTTACTTCAAGCGACATCCAGGACTTTGGGAAACTGGCCGAATCGCCCTCGCTTTATGAGATGTGTACAATATCCAATACTGGAATTTAAAGCTGAGCAAGACTATTTTGTAAGAACTTACCCAAATGCATCGGTATGCCATAAAATGCTATCTGAATATGTGTTTTCAGACATAAGATCGCCTAAAAATTGGTTAGAATATCAAGCAGACAGTCTGAGATAGGATATTTTTATTTGGTAAACCTGGATTATTTGTTAGATTTAAAAAGTTTGAATGTAAGTCATCAGTCTCTTTAGTTGCACAAGAATATCCACAGCTCTGATAGGACACGGTGACGGCTTTTTAGTAAAGCAACCATTTACTATGTAGCGGCAAACAAATCCCCGAAATAAAAAGCTCTGTAGGTCTTCGACATTTGATGTTGACCCCATTAGTTTGAATAGACACGTCTAACCGAACGCTCTCGGTCACGCATTTACACCAGATTACAAGTGAGTACGCCGTGTTACGGATCTCTTACAACCGTTAGACGGCTTAGTTTAAACGCTTCCTAATATATTGATAGTCTTTCAAATACGTTGAAGATACGACTGGTATTGAAGTTTTGCAACTTTAAACCAGTAACACTTTTCATGTTCGAAGCGTTCACCAACCAGTTGAAATCAGAAGTCAGACGAGAAGAGGTAGAAAAGACAAGTTTGATACGTTATCAATATATCGAGAAGCGTTTACTCTGATCTGGCTAGCGAACGTACGAGCTTTGTCCGACACTGGATCGTAATGTGATCTGATACTGATGCATGACCGAAAGCCTTCAGTTAAGCAAGTTCACTAAAAACCATGTGGTCAGCATCCAATGTCTAACACTAAAGAGCCATTGATTTTGGGGAATTATTTACAGCTACAACGTCTTCGAACCTCTTCCTTTCTGACTTCTGATTTGACTGGGTTAGCAAAGTTAGATTTTAAAAGTGTTATTTGTGAAGATGTTTCCAAACTCCGAGTACCTATGTCATCCTTATAAGTGAGCTCGACGTGAGCTGGTACATCAGTTCGTAAACTGTGAATCGGCTCCTTGTTGAAACACTATATAACATTTTTGAATTTTTGTTTTTACGTATTGTGATATTGTTTCCATACTGTCAGATATTTTCCTTGCCCATTGGTATATTCTATCCTCATTATGAGGGAACAGACACATTAGTTGATTAAGATTAAACCTCTTACACACACCCTACTTCAACGAATATCATTCTGGTTCGACAACGTCGAAGCCTGGTTCTGGTACGTATAGGCTGACTCTAACGATCAAGGAGTGACAGACCCACGTGCACAATTTCTCGCAACAGTGAAAGCACTACCATGCGATCTTCACTGTGACGTCACACCTAGCATACTTACTAGTAGCGTTTCGGAAACTTATGAAACTTACTTAAATTCATGCGGCGTTTTAAACCTCACTGTGCCGTTCATACAGATTTTTGCAGAACAGAAGTTTCCACTTTAACAGCTTTCTTGTCTAAAACAAGTCAATGAAAGACTTCTTGAGTTCAGGGCCTATTCTTTTATTTATTACAACCTTTATCACGCACAACGGTGAGATGTAAAATTGAGTCATTTATCTTCGTCGAACAGTCCAAATTTCCAGGGACCGTTCCACGACGAGACCCTATTTGCTACATCGATTTTTCCTATTTCCAACAAAATGTTCGCAATGTTTTGAAAGCATTTTGGCGAGTGAAACAGTCTGTTAATGGAAATCGGTTCAATTATGTCACGTCCAGTACTCTTCGGATAGATAGCACCCAAGCACTTCCCTAATTAAATTACGAAAGCCCGCAAAATTCATTACAAACAAAGTATAAGGCCATACAGAAGTCAAATTATCTCGTAAGTCCTCCAAAGGTTTCTCCCTAGACGTAACTCATCAATGGAAAGTGAAGCTGGTCACTAGAACGTCAAAAGCCAGAAGTCAACAGTTTCTAATCTATGAAATTTCCCTAACAACAGAGTAATTTTATTACTACAAAAACCAATCATAACCGACCACAGGACTAGCCGAAACCAGTATCCATGAATATGAATCATAGATAACCTCTCCACGGATCATAACGACTGAGGAGGATCGTTGGCGTAGTCAGACGTACCAGCGTGTCAATCAGTACTATTATCTCAGGTTAGTCACGTGCTTGGGTAATAATCTCTGACTTTTTATCCAGACAGCTGATAAGAAAAAGTGGAAATCGTGAAATGGAATCTGAGCGGCGGTTTTCCTGAGTAAGTGTTACGGTAAGTTTAGACTGACGAATTTTCAGAATGGCAGCAAAACATTCAACACCTTAACTTTATATCACAATTCACCAGTGAGATGTGGCATACTAGCAGTCTGCTTGAATAGCTGAGCTACCTATTCTCCTGATCACCTAGATATTTCAAACAATTATTCTTTAGTCTCTTTCAACACACCAGTTTTGTCCGTTAATAGCACATATTCAGGTGCGTATCTAGGAAGTTTACGATCGGTCATTTTTTTATGTGAAAAAGTAAGATCGGGGATATTGTGCTGTCTGACAATATTGACTAAAAAGAATGAACATTACTCAGAAACTGGTTCCCGAATTGCTGACGTACAACTGTTAATCAATAATTAGCAAGGTGGACTATCTTCAAATCCTACTAAAATTAAAACACAGATTTCAGCGAAGGGATCTCTTTTCAACGAATTTATTATCAAGCTGTACAATTGTATATATATATGAAAATGTTTTGTTAAAGTACTAATTCCGTGAGGAAATGTGAACACTAATAACCAAGATTATAATACTGGATTACGTAATATGAATGACAACAATAGATTTAGTGATTATAGTAAGACGGATAAAATGTTTTGGTTACAATAATTAAAGGTCATTAAAGGTCATAGAGGTGTAAAATAAATAAATAAGGTGATGAGTATTCATGAATAAAATAATGAGAATATAAAACATAAGTAAAGGGGGAATGGAGTAATAATAATAATAAAAGAATGACAATAATAACAATATTAAGGCCATGGCAACGACAATGATAAAACGTACTTCTTTTGTACGCATAGTTCTGGTTTGAGCTCATGGATGGTAAGAGCTTCGGCTATATACTAAACATAATACCAAATAGATAGTAGCTTGCCATGTGCATCACTAATTACAAGATACTTGTGAGATTTGAATGTAGAGCACCAAACTCAAAACCTGAAACAGGTATGGCATTTACCTTGGTGTTTGCACATCCATTAACATTAAATGTTGATTTCACCTTCCCTGAGATCAATCAACAAACAGGTATTGTGAAATCCTTGATCTATACACGGAGGTATTTGTTTCGATCTAGGTTAAGGCATTAACACAACAGCCTTGAGGCTAGAAATACGTGCTTCCGAACCATCGGCCTAGAGTACAGGGACGAAGAGGGTGATGTCGTCGGTTTTATTTGTATACACAAACAGAAAGATTGTAGATAACCACCTACCTGCCTAACTCCGCCTGTAGCTCTTTTAAAGTTACTGCCGGTCCCAAGCCCGGGTAAAGGAGGAGGGTTGGGCATGGGGTTAGCGACACCATCCCGTAGAAAAGCCAACTCGATAAAAAATGCTGACCAGAAAAAATAATTCAAACCACTTAAACTGTGCCCTCCAAGTTGAAGGAATAATTAGGACGTCTCATGATGAAAGCCGAAATTCTTCGGAAGTCACGAGACTGATGCACCTTCTAACAACCAGAGCAACACTCTTTATAGGTACATGGAACGTCCGGACGATGTGGGAGACAGGAAAGACCAGTCAAATAGCAATGGAAATGAGGAGATACAACTTGGCAGTACTCGGAATCAGCGAAACCCATTGGACACAATCTGGACAACAAAGGCTAGGTATAGGAGAGATACTGCTGTACTCCGGTCACGAAGAGGAAAATGCTCCACACACTCAGGGAGTTGCTCTAATGCTGTCCAAAGAAGCACGAAATGCACTTGTGGGACGGGAATCTCATGGACCCAGGATAATCAAAGCATCATTCAGAGCAAAGAAGAAAGGGATCACAATGAACGTTATCCAATGTTATGCACCCACCAATGATAGCAACGACGATGATAAAGATCAGTTCTATGAAATGCTGCAATCAATTATAGAGAAGTGCTCACGAAAGGACCTCACCATTCTGATGGGAGATCTAAATGCTAAAGTTGGAGTGGACAACACAGGATATGAAGATATAATTGGACGACATGGGCTAGGAGAAAGAAACGAAAATGGCGAGAGACTTGCAAACCTATGTGCATTCAACAAATTGGTTATAGGCGGCACAATATTCCCACACAAGCGCATACACAAAGCTACATGGATCTCACCGGACCAAACCACAGAGAACCAGATAGATCACATCTGTATCAACAAAAAATTCCGAAGATCAATGGAAGATGTGAGAACCAGGAGAGGAGCTGACATAGCTTCAGATCACCACCTGGTTGTGGCCAAGATGAGACTGAAGTTAAAGAAGCACTGAACAACTGGACAAACAGCACTACAAAGGTTCAATACAACCTTCCTTCGAGATATTGACAAGCTCCACGAATTCAAGATAACTCTCAACAACAGGTTCCAAGCTCTACAGGATCTACTGAAAGAACAAGAAACTACTTTGGAGGACAACTGGAAAGGGATAAAAGAAGCACTAACTTCAACGTGTCAGCAGGTTCTTGGTCCTAAGAAGCATCATCACAAGGAATGGATCTCTATGGGAACCCTGGACAAAATTCAAGAAAGGAAGAACAAGAAACTAGCAATTAACAACAGCCGAACACGAGCAGAGCAAGTCAAAGCACAAGCAGACTACGCAGAAGCAAACAGGGGAGTGAAGAAAAGCATTAAAGCCGACAAGCAGAAATACATGGGAGAACTAGCAACGACGGCGGTAAAAACTGCAAGGGAAGGGAATATGAAACAACTATATGACACAACGAAGAAATTGGCAGGGAGATATAGCAAACCAGAGAGGCCAGTCAAGGACAAATAAGGAAAGACAATCACGAAGATTG